CTGCTTTCAATGATCTTTAGAATAGATTAAATACTAAAGATGATGAAAAATATATGTATAAACTAGCCAAATAAAGAGAAACAAAAAGTAAAATTTTAATTCAAGCACAGTGTATTAAATATGAAAATCAAAAAGTGTTTTTCTTAGATGAAAATATTCAACATAAAAGGGTGGGATATCTTGATAAACTTTTAAATCAAGTTTATGAAAATACAATCGACCTTAGTGTGCAGATTATAAAGGAATTAAGTTGATGTATCAGACTTTAAAATTATGGAAAAGGGTAATTGAACATAGGTTAAGAAGTGATACAAAACTTTCTCATAATCAATTTAGATTTATGTCGAGCGGGTCTACTATGGAAGCTAGACATTTATTGAGAGATTTGATGGAGAAGTACGGAGAGAGTAAGTACGATCAACATATGATTTTTATTGATTTGGAAAAAGCTTCCAAGAAAAGTCCTTTGAAGAGTTCTAGAGAAAAAAATTGTTGATATGACTTGTATTCAAGTTATTAAAGATATTTATGCTCAAACCGTTACTTATGTTCAAACAGAAAGAGGATTGACCTAGCATTTTCTTATTTCAGTTGGATTACATCAAAGATCTGCCTTAAGCCCATATCTTTTCGCTTTAGTTATGGATGCACTTATTGGACACTTATAGGAGGATTTACCTTGGTGTATGTTTTTTGCTAATGATATCCTTCTTGTGGATAAGACTAGAGAAAGAGAAGACTAGAGAAAGAGTTTAGAGAAAGAGTTTAGAAAAAACTTGAATTATGGATGTCTACATTAGAGTCTAAAGGCTTCCGTTTGAATGGATTTAAAACTGAATACATGAAATGTAATTTTAGTAGTAGTCGCTCTAGTACGAGAGTTGTAACTATGGGTGATCAAATCATAAAAAAGTATAAACGTTTTAGATATCTCAGGTCTATTTTTCAAAGTGATGGTGATATAGATGGGGATGTCATTAGTAAAATAAAATTTGATTGGTTGAAGTGGAGGAATGCATTGAGCCTAATGTTTGATAGAAGAGTACCATCTAAACTTGAAGGAATATTTTATATGATGGTGTTGAGATTAGCATTGCTCCATGGCACATAATGTTGGCCTTTAAAAGAGAAGCATGAAACAAAAGTTAAGTGTTGTTGAGATGAGAATGCTTAGGTGGATGAGTGGCTTGATACTTTAGGGATAATGCGAAATGAATAAATTCGTGATAGGGTTGGTGTAATTCCAATTGCAGACAATATTAGAGAGAGTCATCTTAAATGGTTTGGTCACGTTAAACATCAATCACCTGATGATCCGGTTAAGAGAGTAGATATTTTAGATTTGACTTAAGAAAGGCAGATGTAAACCTAAAAAGACTTGGGCATATTGGAAAAAAAATTATCTTAACCTATTAGAAATAAATGAAAATATGATACTCAATAAAACGCAATGAAGAAAAAATATATATGTAGCCAACCACACTTAGTGGGATAAAGGCTTGTTGTTGTTATTGTTGTTTGAAGAGTCTTCGTTGTGCCCTTTTAAAAATCAGAAATAATATTTACTTTCATATTGTTGTTTGGATTAACTCTGGTATCAACAAATTTATTGATCTTAACTTGTAAGATTTATCTCATAAGTTGGGATTAATTCTTTTATCAAGTTTTGCGTTGTTAAGATGTGACATCTTTGACTTAAGGTTAATAGAAACAATCTTAAAATCCAATCAAGTTTCTCAAAAGTATCATCTCTACTATTGACTCATGTTTAAACACAAAACACTAATACAAATGAGCCTACCTTGAGGAAAGATTCATAGAGATGATTTCCCAATGTAAAAGTCTGTGAATAAGCTTGAAAGCAAGATAAAGGATTAGAAGAAACTCAACTGAGTTCCCTTCATATTGTAAGATGGCATCAAGGTGATCCTTACGAACCTCTCTCACCCACTCGCCTCTCACATAGGGTATTTATAAATGCTTAAATGAAAGGTGCTTTTATGTCAAGGCAAGGTATACGATGGAAAGATAAGTCACCTCATCTCCATGATACAAATAATCAAAATGTCCCTTGGTTGATGGAATTTTTGGTCCTCTGATCAATTGAAGGGTGGATGATAAGTCACCTCATCTCCAAGATACAAATAATCAAAATGTCCCTTGGTTGATGGAATTTTTGGTCCTTTGATCAATCGAAGGGTGGATGACTTCGTGATACCGGAAAAGTGGTATTGGTGCATATTTCAACAGGAAGATGGAGAAAAAATGAACAGAAATTCAGAAACAAGAAAAGCAATGAAACAGAACACTAAACAAAGAAAGATAGAAAATACAAGAATTTCCTACTCTTGTAACTGATCGGGATACATAAATCATCACCCGAGGACCGACAAAGAAAGAAAACCTGGAATGTCACCAACAACGATAGAGGAATACAGTTTCCATCACCCAACGCCTTGGCTGGAGACTTGTCCCCATCTAGCAACCACCAAGGGAGCCAAATCCCTCACAACACTCAAATGAACAACAAAAACCCACTAATACAACACACCCTATGTTTTAAAACATAACGACCCCCCCCCCCCCCCCCTTATTACAAGTATTCCATCCAAATAGAAAACACATAAAATAGAAAACTAAAACATAAAAATGAACTTTAACATCATATGGATACATTATTTACTTGATCACATAACTCATATCACGATTGAACACTTAGTATCATTCTACTCGGGCGAGAGGAGCTTCTTCATCTCCATTAAATCAATCTCTTCCAAGTGATCCCGTACGCAATACTTCTCTTACAAGCAGTAACCAATAAGGACCCTCACGATTTCTCTATTCGCATATGATGAGATGGATCCTCTTTCGACTATTTCTTATTGTTCTTTATATCACATATTCCACAACAATTGTCACCACTTAGTAGCTTCTTGGAACATGAACATAACCCAAATCAATTTCAAGTTCTGTACACATGAATTCTGAACAGGCAGCAAAAACTCGTCTGGAAGATAAATAAAGATAATGCAAGAACCCCGTAATGCAAGAACCCCGTTTTTTTTTTTTTTCTTGATCCAAACTAGTTATGAAATTTTAATGATCTGAGTTATAAACTTCTCAGTCTCCAAGAAACAATGATATCACACAGCCTTCATGCTAAATATTAGTCTGCTAGTTAGACACTCCAAGCACTAGCTGGATGAAGAGGCAGCAACGAGAAAGTTCATGATTTATGCCACAAGAAAATCTTGAAAATGTCAATAATCACATGGGAAATGATAAAGGTCCAAGTCAATGTTTTCCTGCTTTTCTAAACGGCAACAACAAAACGTTGAAAATGTTCTCCTGAAGGTGAAAAGAAATTGTTTTCCTGAACAATCACATGAGAAATGATAAAGAAATTGATGAAAATGTAGCAAGAAAGATTTGTTTTCTTGAAGAGTTGCCAGAAGGGAAAAGAAACAATGCAGGGAGCAGAAGACCACAGTTTCAAACAAGAAAAACACTAAGAAAAGCAGGAATAGGGACAATCTGGAGTGAAATTCTCGCTAACTACAGCAAACAGAAAAACTGGAACCTCAAAAAACCTGGAATTTGCAAATAGAAACCTGGAATTGCTGGACAATAAACAAAAGAAAGACTAGGGAAAGTTAGCTAATCAATCTTGGCAAGAATTGGGATCAAGAAGGCAAAGCTCTGATACCAAAATGATACCAGAAAAGAGCCTTGGGTGCATAATTCAACAAGAAGATTTAGAAAAAGTTCAAAGAACAAAAATTCAGAAATAAGAAAAGTAAAGAATCGGAACACTAAACAAAGAAAGATACAAAATATAGAAGTTTCCTACACTCGTAACCGATTGAGATACAAAATTCACCACCCGAAAGATTGACAAAGGAAGGAAACCTGAGATGTCACCACCCCAACAACAAAGTGATACAGTTTCCACCACCCAACGCCTTAGCCGGAGACTAGCCCTCATCAGGAAACCCCAAGGGAGACAAATCCAAAATCAGGGATGTTGGAGAGATCCAAAATTAGACAATTAAATTGATGCCTATAATCTTGAGATCAATGTTGAAGGTAATCTAAATTGAATGGTCAAATTTAAGTAAGAATCCTAAGATATATTTTGATTGGATGTATTTCATCTAGCTAAACAAGAGAGTTGGCACCAATCTTGTTGTGATCCAATGACAAAAGAGCCTTTTTGAAGATTATGAGAGCATGATCGTGGAATCCTAAATATGGAATTATCTTGGAGCTATTTATTTTTATAGACAAATCTAGCCCAAGCCACCCTAAGCTTGAGACACACCTAGGATATTCCTAACAACTTAACATGGACTAATTTTGACCAGCTTAGCCTTTTGAACGTGACAATTCGTGAGGAGGCAGTTTCAAGTAATTTTTAAAGTCGTCTTTCCTCCTTGCTAGAAAAATAAAGTAATCCATAATATTTTCTCAAGTTTGTTTTCACTGCTAGTACAACTTAAGGTCCATAAAACAAAAAGATTTGAGAAGACAAGAAATTAGATCAATTTATAGCCAATTGACATGTAGTCCCACGAGGACGTACATGTTTTTTTGGATGTAGTTATTATCAAACATTTAGAATTCAGCCTTATTTTAGAGGATTTATGATCAACTCACCTCTAGCTTCACAAGAAGGATGCTACATAACATACACTTGACTATTAGGCGGAATGAAAAGACTTTGGACTTTATAACAGAACTTAAAAGTTGGATTTCACATTACTGGATTTACTATATCCGGATTTACCGGCTTTAGTAAATCCTAATTAACTTAAATCTAAGAGGCAGCCAAACACCCCCTAAGTCCGGCTAACAAACAACCCCTAGATGCAGCAACGAAAAACAACCACTCCAAATCAGGAAAACAAATCACATAGTTAACATCACCCCATCCGCTACCCCCAATTCGAACATAAGCAATGCAATGGACAGAAAAGGAACAAGAAGCAAGAGATCAAAACCTGGGCGATGGTTTTCTCATCGTCCTTGCAGGAGGCAACGATTGCACTCTTAGCGCGAAGGATTTCATCAAAAGAGGCTCCTTCCCGCACACCGAGAACCTTAAGAGCGTTCTCTACTGACATCTCCGAAGGTGCCGATGAATCATCCGCCCTCGCTGCCAGTGGAGCCGGACGACAAGTCCTCCTACTTCGCATCCCCTTCGCATGAGTAGATGCAGGAAAGGAAAAAGGCTTGTAGATCGTTGGATCTTCGATGCCGTTCGCCGGCTGCGAATGGGAAGTCGCCGGCGATGGAATTATGTGGAGGAATGTGCGGTGGAGTGCAAGAGCCGCAACCATTCTCTCTTTCTCTGGTTTAGGGGCTGTTTTTTTTTTTTTCCCCCCTTATTTCTCCCTTGATTTAATCAGATGAGATCATAAAATATCAGAAATATTGAGGGTATTAAATTCTGATTTTGTTGCAGTCATTTTGCCAATATGGAATGGATTATTGGTTTATTGCAAACCTTTATATCTCTAGCAAATCAATTGAGTTGTATATTCATATAATTGTAGTATTGTATTACTTTCTATTTGATTTTTCTTTTCTTTTGGTTTTTCCGCACTTAGTCTGCATTTATATTTCACTATTTCTAGGTTGCTTCTTTTTGAGGTCCTAGCACGCACCCAACAGTCGAATAATAGTAAAAAAAGAATATTGTGCTATTTATTTTGTATTATACCCCACAATGCTAACTCTATGAAATAGTTTGAGACACTTTTCAGTGCTTATCTATTACATGTTTTTAATGAGTTATTAAATTCCACCTCATGTTAAAATAGTATTGACATATTCTTCACTTGGATAGTAACATAAGCTGCAGAGTATATATTTTCTTTTTGGGATATGATACATTAATATGACAAAATCTCTCAAATGTTTTTTTTTTGGATTTTTTCCACTTTTTTTTTTTTTTGCATTTAAATATCCTCGTAGAGT